GGTGCTGGAGGAGGCTCTTGAGAGTCCCCTGGACTGCAAGAAAACAAACCTATGCTTTGGCCATCTCATGAGAAGAGAAGACTCCCTGGAAAAGACCCTGATGTTGGGAAAGTGTGAGGGCAAGAGGAGAAGGGATGACAGAGGATGAGATGGTTGGACAGTGTCATTGAAGCTACCAGCATGAATTTGACCCAACTCCAGGAGGCAGTGGAAGATAGGAGGGCCTGGCGTGCTCTGGTCCATGGGGCCACGAAGAGTCAGACACGACTTAACTAAACAACAACAACAATGGTATAAATGTGGGTTTGGACAAGCCCCTCACCAAGGAAAGTCTGACAGTGCACACATATATCCAGGAGCAATGTCTAAAAAGCAGAATACCTGGCAATATATGTTAGGTGCCTTGAGTTCCTTGGGTGGGGGAGGAAGGGAGATAATGTACAGAACCTCTTATCCTACAGCATATTCTAATGCACAAGGTTGTTGTGAGGACAAATGGATATTTGAAAGCATGTTGAAAGTTCTAATATCCTGTAATGGAATTTACTTAACAACTTTATTATTTAATAATAAGGAAAAGAATACAGTTTTCATTGAGACAGCACACACATCCTTTCAAGCCCCAAATATGATGGACTGCAATACCCATCAACTAATACTAGCTGGGGATGGTGAAATTTGTAGTTCAACACAACTGACTGCCAGATCTGTGTTGTTTCATTTTTTAATAAGCAGACAACTGTGTTCTGTGCAGTTCTTTCTGTCCCCCCCCCCCAGAAGACTGGGCTTTCCATGTCAATTGTATTAAAAGTCCAATTTTTTAGTTTTTATTTCTGTTATCTCATAATGTGATATCTGAGAATATAATGGGAAGTTACACAGTCTTTCCATTTTTCTATCTCAGTTTGTCCATGTGATATTGACATAATGATGTTATAATATAGTAATTAGTCTTAAAACTGCAGAGTTGGAAGGGACCCTATGGATCATTGAGTCCATCCTTTGTCAAGGAGGCATAGTGGGGAACTGAACTCCCAACCTAAACCACTGAGCTATCCTGCAGTTACCTTTCACTAGCTGACAGAGAGGGCACACAGAGCACCTGGCAATAGTTATCCTTGGCCAAATCTTGATTGGACTGCTGCATGAATTTTTTACGGGTTGCCTTTGAAGACTGCTCTGAAACTTCATTTAAGGAAGTGTCTTGATTACTGACTGGGTGAATGCAATATATCTCAATCATTTTAGGATCCACTGGTGGCTGTTTCCAGACACAGTACAAAGTGGAAGTTTTAATTGTTAAATTTCTACTGGCTTGGGATCTGAGGAATAGAAGGACTATATTCCGTCACACAAAACATGTCAGAATATTAAAATGATCCCAAGTTTGGAGGTGATTAAAGACAGGACAGAGCTGGGGAAAGTTACTTCTTTTCATTAATAATTCTCTGAATTTACCAGTCGGGGTGGAAAATGTCACAGGCAGAATATGCCCCCCAGGGAGACTCACATAGCGCCACACTGGATGTCTTTTCAACACTAGATGAAGGTGTTTTTATTTGCCCAAGGCTTTTAGTTTTCTTTATTTTAATTTGAATCTTTAACCAGGTTGGATGCTGGCATATTTTGGCTATTCTATTTATTTTTCCTACATTGTTCTCATTGTTTTGTTCAGACAACATTTTCCATGTTATAGACTCTTAGAGCAGCCACAAATAAATTTTAAAGCATAATACACAAACTACAATTTATCCCAAGGATGTTTAATCAGAAGTAAATCCCACTAAGTTAAATGGGATTTACTATCTTGTTAGTGTGTCCTAAGTAAATACAAATAAAATACTTGCACTTTTAGGCATGTTGAAGCATGAGCCACAGGCTGGAGTTTAATACTGGGACTCATTCACTTCTTTCCAGGACTCTGGTCTCCTTCTCACTGAGGTGTTAAACCTATGCCTAAAATGTATCATTTCAAAACTCAGGGGAGGGCTTACATGAAGAAATGCTTTTCTGTACACAAAAAAATCCATCTCTAAGAAAAAGAACAGCTGGATTGCTCAGTGGTTTGGTATCTGGCTGTGGAGCCAGAGGTTGGAAGTTTGATTCCCCACTGTGCCTCCTGGGAGAAGAGCAAGTCTATGTGACCTTGGGCAAACTGTACAGTTCCAGGATGCTCTTAGAAGAAGGGAATAGTAAATCACTTCTGTGTATACTCTGCCTGGAAAACCCTGGAAATGGTCCTCGTAAGTTGGAATCAACTTGACATCATTTAATTATTATTAAGAAAAGAATCATATTCAAGGAGAAAACTAAGTCAATAAATAGTTCATCATTAGAGCTGAAAGCACATTAGTACTAGAGAGAGGTGACTGAGGTAGCCTTTCCTGTTTGTGAAATCAGACTTCACAAGAATTCGTAAGTCTTAAAGACCACTCATATCAAAGAGCAAGCTGATCTGAAAACTCTAGATATGAGGAAAGCTTCTTTGTCATTCACAGACAAGCAGCCCTGTAGGATATTCCCGTACTAAGGACAGGCAATCTATAATACTTGTTTCTGCTCAAGAAGACGTTCAGCTGGTGGATATACAGTGGTGCCCTGCATAGCGACAATAATCTGTGCAGCAAAAATCGTCGCTATACGGATTCATCGCTATGCGAAAATAAAAAGCCCATAGGAATGCATTAAAACCCGTTTAATGCATTCCTATGGGCAAAAAACTCACCTTTATGCGAAAATCCTCCATACAGTTGCCATTTTCGCTGTCTGGTAAGCGAGGAATCGGGGCGAAAACACAGCGGGCGGCCATTTTTTTTACCTGGCGGCCATTTTGGAACCGCCGATCAGCTGTTCTAAAATCATCGCTATGCGAAAATCAGTAAGCGAAACAGCGTACCGATCATTGCAAAGTGATTTTTTACCATTAGAAACATCACAATGTGATCGCAAAAACGATCGCAAAAACTTAATCGCTATGCGGATTTGTCGTTAAACGGGGTGCCCGTTAAGCGAGGCACCACTGTATGGTCCGTCACAGAAAGGGTTTATCTATAGTGGGATTCCTAGTAACTCACCATAGCACAGAGGCCATTTCAGCGCTTGCATCATCCGTCCCACCATCTTGCCCTTTAAATTAGTTTTAATTATTTGACATTGTCTTTTTGTGTATGTGGATTGGTATGTTTACTTTTGGTCTTTGTATAACTATTATGTTTAATGCTTTTTAAAGTATGTCTGCTTTATTCTGTTGTGAACCACCCTTAGTGGTTTTGGCAGCCATATGGGTGGTATAGAAGTTGAATGAAAGAATATTGAAAAACCTTCCATTTTCTGGAAGGCAGGAGCCAATTTTAAGTACAGTGGGGTCTCTACTTAAGAACTTAATCCGTATTGGAAGGTGGTTCTCAAGTTGAAAAGTTCTTATGTTGAATCTGCATTTCCCATAGGAATGCATTGAAAACCATTTAATCCGTATCTGCTCTTTTCCGTCCATAGAAACTACTGTACACTTACTAAATCATTTCAAATTTCTGGAGGTTGTTTGATCAAACATGGCTGCCTTCCTTTTCTATCTTTTTATTTTATGGTTCTTAGTGTTTTATTGGAACAATTATTTTAAAAGAGCCAATGGTTGCAGCAGCACTGTGGTCCCCTAATCATACTACAGTAACTGTTTAAGAAGACTGCTCTACAGTTTTCTCAGTCTTTAAGCATATTCATTAAAAAACACACCTGCGCTCATATATGCAACAACATGCTACTGCATTTGCACATTCTCTTACCCAACTCACAGTGGTGTCCTGTATAGCCAGCCTTGCACAAGCAGAGGAAAGAGGCAATCCGATCTTTACACAAGCCCCCATTCATACATGGCTGAGATTGGCACTCATCAATTTCTAGAAAGACACAGTGGAAAGAGAACCATTATTGAGATGCAGTGGAAGTCCCAAAGTCTAGGTAAGCTCTGGAACAGGGCAGCACATCCTGCCTCACAGTTCTTAAGTGCAAAAGATATGTTACTATAAAATGTCTACATGCCAGACTCAGTGCATTTTAGAAACAACCACTCCTATCCTAACTTGGGAAGTAAGAACATTTATAAAAAAAGAGAATTTATAAGCTAGAAAAAATGTACTCCCACCTTTCACACTAGATTCAAGGGCAAAGCATATGTAAAGTGGAAATGGGCTGTAGCTACATAGTGGAACACATACGTCACAGGCAGCATTCCAGGTTGAATCCCTAGTAGCCCTTCCCTGGGCGGGAAACACTCCTGTCTGAGACCTTTTAAAAGCTGCTGTGAGTTAAAGCAGCTTTCAAAGGGGCCACTCCAAGAAACCTGCTGTGTAGTGGCAAAGCCACCTGCCCTTATAAGCTTGACAGACATGCTTCCCACAAAACACATCATAAATCAAGTTACCATTACACTGTGGAGGGTCACTCCAGGCACCTTGTCCTCTGCACACACTGGGGTTCTTTTGGGGACTCAGAGTATACCCAAGATCACAACGATATTCTGCCAGAGACCCCATCTTTGTTGAGTTGAATGCCACGTGAGCATGCCTCACCTCACTGGGAACACCACAGTCTACCTCTAAGAGGGAGAAAAAGAGAGAATCAGAGATGCTGTGGGAGAGAAAAAGTTATAGAGAAAGGAATCCATAATACCTCTTATGAGTTACACAGTGACGGAAACCGGCATTAACTAAAAGCTTTGCTCTGAAGGGGGGGGGAGGGATGACCTACTTTTCTCTACAGCAAAGAGCTATATGAAACTTGGTGAAAGCAACTCTGCAAATTATATTAGAAAATT